GACCAAGAAACAATATGGAAGGATAACATCAGAGAAACTCTACAACAGCACGATGTGCCTATGGTCGAGACGGCCAGAAGAGCTAGAAACAGAATCTTATATCTCCCCCGACACCCACAAGCGGTAAAAGAGGAAGTGAAGAAGAAGAAGAAGGAAGAAGAAGAAGAAGAAGAAGAAGAAGAAGAAGAAGAAGAAGAAGAAGAAGAAGAAGAAGAAGAAGAAGAAGAAGAAGAAGAAGAAGAAGAAGAAGAAGAAGAAGAAGAAGAAGAAGAAGAAGAAGAAGAAGAAGAAGAAGAAGAAGAAGAAGAAGAAGAAGAAGAAGAAGAAGAAGAAGAAGAAGAAGAAGAAGAAGAAGAAGGAAGAAGAAGAAGAAGAAGAAGAAGAAGAAGAAGAAGAAGAAGAAGAAGAAGAAGAAGAAGAAGAAGAAGAAGAAGAAGAAGAAGAAGAAGAAGAAGAAGAAGAAAAAGAAGAAGAAGAAGAAGAAGAAGAAGTGAATACATTGAACTCACATTTTTTTCCTGACAAACAAACAAAAGCCGAATTAATGAAACGATTTTGTGCGAAATGCTTGAGGATTGTTTGCTAGAGCCTGGCTGCAACTTCAGCTCAACATGTTACAAGGAAATTTTCTCGGAAGTAAAAGAAGAAGTTTTCCATACCAGTTAATGGATCTATTGGGCTGCATTATACAGTAAAGACAACTGCATGGTGCGAATAGTTGTCCTGTAGTTGGTGATCATACAAATGTAAAAGTTCACTTTAGCATATACTACCTGTGTGTTGAGGAGTTTTAGGCTTTCCCGTATTCTAGACCACGACAAACAGGAGGTGATGGTCAGTTTCTGTCCTCGTCCTTCTTTCACTGATAATTTCAAGAAAGTTATTTGATACCCATTTTTTTTCAGCCCTGGCTGGTCCCACTTTAATATAATCATCTTAATTCTGAGTTTTGAACCCGAGTTCAGGTTTTCTTTGCTAGGAAAGTAACAAAAACAAATTTATTGTACTTTGTAATAACCCCCTTTCCCCCCCCCCCCCCCCCCCCCTCCACTCTCAGTGAAGAAAGCTGAGAAAGGCACAGGGACTCAGAAACCGAGGCAGCAACACAAGTCGCAAGCTAAAGAGAATGTTAAAGTAGTGGGAAAAGCCACTTCCGCCGACGTTATAGACAAGACTGCAGAACTGAATGAAGTGCAGATCTCAACTAGATACAGAAAACATTGAAAGAATGCGGAGAGAGTGCAACGCTACGATTAGGAAAACTGAAGCCAAGCAACACACCCAAGACGAAAATCCAGCAAGAGGAAATCCAGCAAGCACTGAAGAAAAACAAAACAACTGACAAAGAAGATGAAGAGAACGATACCTCAGATCAGGCCAATGACTCAGAAGTAGAGGCAGACGATATCCACGATGAAAGAAACCCAAGCAGACCCCTAACTACTAAAGCCTGCTGCAGCAAACATAATGAATGAAACCCAAGCAGACCCATAACTCCTAAAGCCTGCTGCAGCAAACATAATGAATGAAGCCCAAGCAGACCCATAACTCCTAAAGCCTGCTGCAGCAAACATGATGAAAGAAACCCAAGCAGACCCATAACTCCTAAAGCCTGCTGCAGCAAACATAATGAATGAAACCCAAGCAGACCCATAACTCCTAAAGCCTGCTGCAGCAAACATGATGAAAGAAACCCAAGCAGACCCCTAACTCCTAAAGCCTGCTGCAGCTAACATGATGAAAGAAACCCAAGCAGACCCATAACTCCTAAAGCCTGCTGCAGCTAACATGATGAAAGAAACCCAAGCAGACCCATAACTCCTAAAGCCTGCTGCAGCTAACATGATGAAAGAAACCCAAGCAGACCCATAACTCCAAAAGCCTGCTGCAGCAAACACGATGAAAGCAGCCAATGGGAAATAAGTCAGAGAACAGGACGCTACAGAAAATGCCTGCATAGTCTTTTCTAGGATTCAATAATAATATCGGGTACTACGAAATCGTTATTCCTTACGTCTTTTTTAGGACGTATTTTTTGTTATTTGAAGCCCCACTCTGGCTTTTGCCAGGGACCGCAATATAGGCAGGCCATAAATATGTCCAATTGTCTGAACGCGGTTTCTGGGACCTCTCCACGGTGATCCTCATCCACATGGTGGCACTTTGTGTCATCGGGTGTTTATCGCTTGTGTGATGTCTTAGTGGGGTAGAAAGTCAGTCAGTCAGTCTACTACGAAATACGCCTGGCCAAATCAGAGGGAGCTGAAACCAAGGAGGAAACACCTGGAAGGAAAAGGCAAGAAGTACACAGTTTACAAAGGTTAGAGAACGAGCGGTCTGACTCGAAGGAAGGAAGCATCAAACCCAGAGACGGTGCAAATACTAAAACTTTAGTCAAGAAAGTGACGCAAATAACACAGACCACAAAATATAACGGAGACTGTTAGCAGCTTTGGCTAGCTAGCAGCAGTCTGAAAGTGGTCGAACTTTTAATTTTTTTTTTTTTTTCCTTAAAAGGAATCGGAATAGAATATCGGGTATATTTCACAACCTGTGGCTTATTTCAAAACCAGTGGTATATGTCTCAACCAGTGGTATATTTCTCAACCAGTGGTATATTTCACAACCAGTGGTATATTTCACAACCAGTGGTATATTTCACAACCAGTGGTATATTTCACAACCAGTGGTATTCCTGACAGATGTAAAAGCTCTACTTTAGGCACTGCAGTCTGGAAAGTTACCAGGTATACAGACATTACTCTCTGAACTAGGCAACCGATGTAAGGTAGCTATGCGATAGATACCACCCCACCGTGGAATTTCCGGAAATGAAAGAGAAGATAAACTACCTGAAGAAGGTGCAACTGGAGAACAACCTGATATACCAGTCTCTTGTCAACAGAAGAAGAGAATAATCAAATCAGTCAAAGCCGCCATAACTAGCACAAGACGATTACCATATTCTGGACAAATGAGAGCAAGTCATTATTTTACACCTTAGAACAGGACACAGTCGACTTCCCAGCCATATGTATACACAATTTAAAATTGGCGAATCAGCCATGTGCACATGTGGAAGTGGCACCTGAGACAACAGAAAACATCCTCCAAGACTGTCGTAAATACCACATTTTTAGGCGAAAATGCTGGCCAAGAGAGACACTGGTGAAAGCCAAACTTTACGGGCCGTTAAGTGAATTATAAAAGACAGTGAGTTTATACTAGAGAGCATTGTAGATATAGGTAATTTGTTTAAAGCTAACAAAAGAAGAAGAAGAAGGATTAGACACTTATCGAGGTAGCGCTAAAGGAAGCAGCAGAAGCACAATCCCACGCAGGAGACGATAAAAAAGGACCTAGGAGCCTAGCCAGACAAAGGCTGTCTTCAGTATTGGATACGGTCTTGGACAGACGTTAATAGCGAACTTTGAAGATAATACCTATTGGAAGATGGGGCAGATCAACCGCAACCTTCAAACCGACTAAAGGGGAAGAAACAACAGCAAACACCCTAATTAAAACCATACAGATTGAAAAATGTCAAATGATAGGGGGAAAAGCACTATTTAATTAAGTCTCCTAGAGCTTCACCGGCGACCTGGAAAAGTATCACCTACTTAATATAAGCCCGTCGCTTACTAGTATTCCGTTATAGTCGTGTATTCTAATTTAGTCATTTCATAGTTAGTGTATATTTATATGTGTGTGCGCTGTGCTGTCTTTGTTTACTAATGAAGGTTAATCGCCGCAACTTCTTTTTGTTTTTTCATTGCAATTGATTTTGTAAAGCGGTCAAAATTATTTTATTCCCCTATATTTCCTAACCTATTTTATTAAACTAAAGTATAAAAGCAGGTGACTCAAAATCACATGACATACAAAATGGCCGAAACAACGTATTTATCTGTTAATAGGTAAGTAGCCTATTTAAAATTGTGTGTGATTTGCTGGGCAACTTGAATAATCGCAAATAAAACTTGATAGTGCATGGTTCCGTGTATTGGTAAGAGAAGATTACATTATTATCATCTCAACATCTGTAGTCTAAGTCTGTTCCTTGTATTGATTGCGGCTTGCCTTCGTAGCTGTTAAAGTTAATGTTAATTAGTATAGAGTATTAGTTATTAGTATTTGAAAATAGAGTCAGCAAACGGCTAAAACGCAACGGTGTTCATGGATGTAAGAAAAGGTCACTAGTCACTGGTTGTTACATTATTATAACTATATTATAGAACAATCTAAGTACAGTATTAAGATGTTAAAGGTGTCCTTAGTTCAAGGTGTTTTAAAAGTATTATAGTAATGTAATCAACTCTCCTTTAAATAACGGTCGCTAGCTGGAAGGCCACGGTCGCTTAGTCGGAGTTCACTCCCTTGGCTGCAGTGCAAATACGGAGTGGTAAAGAGGGAACGAAACAAATGACATACTTACCTGTCATGCTACGGTTGCTTAGGGTTAGGGTTTGGGTTAGGGTAACACATGTAGCGTCGAGTACTTACCCATAATAACAGTCGCTATATGTGAACATTTTGCTGACAGTCTTGTAGCCTCATACACTGTAAACATTTTCATGTTTTAGACTGTGTTGTTTGTCATAGATAATACAAGCACTAACTGCATTTGCTATGTAATGGTTTATTTTGTACTGTTATTTTTCAGATTTTGACAACTAACTTTCATTTGTACACATCTGACACATTTGACTTAAGAAGAAGAAGGAAAACAGTGTTGTTTATCATACATAGTTGATAGTGATTCCATTATTGGACTACAGTGTGCATCATGGAGAATTTGTCCAGTTTGGCCTATTGCTTACTGTTGCTGTGCTACAGCAGTATTCTTACTTCCGGTGATCAAAATGTGGAGGTTTTTAAAATTGTACCAGACAAAGTGACAGAGAATTCCACTTACAAAATATATGTAGACCTATTGTCCAGCCTTTCTGAATGTGAAACCAGTTTTCTCAGTGTCACCATTGACACATACAGTGTTAGAAATGCGATGGAAACAGTATGACTTTCA